GGAATGCATCATTTGCTCAGTCTGCATTATCTTTCCCAGAACAAACACCAATTGCAAATAACATACTAAAAATAAACCTGAAAAATCTGTTTAGAACAGCTACTATGTTGCAAAGAGTGAACTACCACTGGCACAATTTAGCAGTCTTTGCAAACTTCAAAAAGCAAATGGCCTCGATCTTGGTTCCACTTGTCTCTTACCCGTGACTTCAGTGGAAATTTCAAATTCAGGATCTGACACAGACTGATTCATGTCCTACACAGTTCTTACAAGTTCATAGAAATTTCTGTTCAATTAGAACCAAGTATTTGAGTTGATGATTGTAATTTTTATACAATGTTGTAATTTGTTTTTCAACAATTTTTTGATTAATGTTTTGTTTCCTTTACAATATTATACTTTAATGTATAATATTGTAAGGAAAAAAACAGGAAACAAAACATCAATCAAAAAATTGCTCTCTTTTTATCTGAGTTACTGTGGTACGACATTATCTCCTCTTTCATAAAGGATGCACCAGTGCCTCCTCTAGTAAATTAGGTAATAAAAGAAAAAAATTAGTATTTAGAGGACTCTGATCATGACTGCAGATACTTCAGGGCAGGGGTCTCAAAACCTAAATGAGCTGTGGGCAAATGCTGGCACTGTCATCTCATGTGAGCACCACTTTAGTGTTCAAGTAGTACAAAACAAACAAACAAATAAGAAAAAACCCATTAATATTTCCAAAAATGTAGTGTTTGTTTTTTAAAATTTCAAATATTGTAGAACAAGACAAAACTGCAAACGTGAACGCATTTTTATTTTCTTCTCACTCTTAACTGAAGCTGCGAGTCCTAGTTCTGCCCTGGTCCTCCTCCATTAGGACATGCCTAGAAAAACCTCAGTTTGGAGGCATCCTTGTAAGATGCATGAACCAGCTCAGCTGCCATCTTTTGATACGGTAGTACTCTAAGCCTAAATCATTATATAAAATGAGTAACAGTAGGGTGGACATTAGGTAAGGCTGCACTTTTTGCAGCGATCTTGTTTAGAAAACAATTTTTGTATCAGTAATATGTTTTCTTTTTGTCTGTTAATAATCATGTGAAACTGCACATGATTATTTGCAGCTAACAGGTTGTTAATGCTATCCACCAAGTCTAAAAACAGCATGTTAATACTTGGAGATCCTGAAGACATGCTCATCCAACTGAGCTAAACCTGCGCCCGAACTTGTTTAATCACCAAAATTGGAGAAGGCATAGAGTGGGGATAACCTACATAGCCTATAACATATGAAACAGGAAAAGACCGCCGTGCATTCTATTTATTTCAACAAAATAACTGTATTCTGATTACCACCTATTTAAATGTTAACTGTAACGGAATAGAGTTTCTCATATTGTGTATTTTAAATGTGTCAAGCCAGTACATGTATTCCATTACTCCCCAACACTGACTACATCTCTGCCTGTTGGAATGTTTTTAGTTGATCATTTAAAGCTATTTCTGCTCCTAGTGGTCCATTTTTGCAGCTGGGACCTAACCCAAATTTTCCTTAGGAGTGTTTTGGGAGAATGTGTTCATCCATTCAGGACAGAAAAGGACACTTGGATAATCTGTGCTGAGGAGCATTAAACTGTTCTTGATACATCGAGAGGTCCTTCAGACACAGCAGCCTTTTCACTCTATTTAAATATGTAAAGATTAAAATGTTGTCATTTCTTTGTAAAATGTTCCCTAAAGATAATGTTACTTGTAATCTATTATTTCAACACTAAATCAAACCCAAACATTCCTTTGATTTCTGTTTTTGTGTCTTCACAGTTTCCCAGCATGCTCTGGCTGTGGTGGTGGAGGTATATGAGCGGGAGACTTCTGTCCTCTTGCCCTATGTTTACAAAGGTTCTATACCCGAGAACAATCCCACAGTGATGTGGACTTGCAGTGACCTCAATCCCAAATCTGTCCACCTACAAGGAAAAGGAGGAGACGATCTTAAAGGGCAAAACCAGCGCTACAGTGGGCGCACATCAATGAGTCGTTATGCACTAAACACAAAAGACTTCAGCCTCACTCTGAGGAAACCCAAACTGACTGACAGCGGTATTTACACCTGTTCCATCAGTGCTGGAGGAGAAGAACATAGACTGAGTGACATCCAGCTGCACGTCAAAGGTCAAACCTGCTGTAATGAAAGAGTAAAAGTCAGTACAGTAGATAAAGCTCAAATAGTCCCAAAAGCAAGAAGAAAAGCCAAGTTTTTTCTGAATAGTTCTGAAAGTCTTGATTAACCTAACAGAAAGATTTACAATGGACCTAACCTTAAAATGAAACAACAAAACATGAGCAAGAAAGTGAACTCAAATAAGATCTTATTGATACAGCCTCTGTGGTATATGGCATTACATTCTTTTAGGTCTGCAGAGTTGTCTTCTCTTCTCAGGGAGACAAATCTCAGTAGACTTTTTACATATTGTCCATGAGGAAAAATTCAAGATTTCTTTTAAAACACTGAAACATTCATTATGATCCCTCAATCATCTGTAGCTGTAGCAACAGTTCATAAATTCCAGTTTAGTTATCACTCAAAGCAAAGAGTAGTGATCCTCATTTGTAAAATCAGAGGTCAGAAATGCAGAAACTTGTCATTTGCCATGAGTGTGACTGCTATTGGTCCTATATTTGATATTGTGGTTTCTTGTCCTTTCAGATCACCCCATGGAGGTGAAGGTGGAGGAAGGCTCAGAGTCTGTCATCCTGCCCTGCAAAACTGAACCTGACCTGCCTGAGAACACCAGAGTGGAGTGGACTCGCTCTGACCCAGAACTCTTGATAGTTCAGGAGTATTCAAACAAAGGTGGCCAACCGGACAACTTTTACAGAGACCGAACAGAAATGAATGAAGACCCACTGAAAACTGGAGACCTCAGTCTGACCCTGAAACACCCCACAGAGAGAGACAGTGGGGGATACATCTGCACCATCTACAGGGACAAAGACATCCTGAGACAGAAAGTAGTGCTGCACCATGTCAGAGGTCAGAGCTGGTGGACAGTGGCTCAGATTAACTTCAGAATTCAAAGGTCATAATTTATTTATGCATTTATTTTTTGTTTCTCCACAGAAAAACCTCCACTTTGGGCCACAGCTGTCGTAGTTCTTCTTGTTCTGGTGGTTTTTGTGGGACTCATATATAGATTTCAACACTATTCCATGTCAGGTGAGTCTCTCGTGCCAGACACACTAATGGTTAACAAGTGTCCCCTGGTGGCTCCTTAACTGTCACTCAAAAGTCCAGAGGCTGAAACAATTCCTGTCCTTCAGCTTTCTTTAAAACTCTGAAAACTTGCTGCTGCTGTTTGTACAGTTCATGTTGTTTGTTGTCCTGTCAGACTGTCAGGTGGAGGTGAAGTCAGGGGTGGAGTCTGTAAAGCTGCCTTTCAAAACCAACACAAAAAAAATACCTGAAGATGCTAAAGTGGAATGGAAGGACAGATACAACAACAAAGTCCATGTGCACCAGAATGGTTGTGATAGGATTGAAGACCAAAGCCCAGCATACAGGGAGCGAACAGAGATGAAGCGCAACCCGCTAAAAACTGGAGACCTCAGTCTCATCCTGAAATACCCCACAAACAAGGACAGAGGCATCTACACCTGCACCGTCTACAACAAGGAGGGAGAAAAAATCCTGAATGACACACAAGTGGAGCTTAAAGTCAAAGGTCAGTGTGTACTTAGTTTTCACTTGTATTTCATATAATATTAACTTGTGACCATTCACTGATGAAAATGGGAAAAATGTTGTGCTTCTGCAGGAATCTTTATATTGAGACCAAGTCGTGCCATCAAACTGCCTTTGTTCACTTTGACTCTGTCCCCAAAAGTAATCAGTTTAATGAGGCACTTTGTGTCTGTGCCAGATCTTTTTCGCTGAATGAATATACTGAGGCTATACACGTTAATTAATTACCTAGATTAGATTACTTTGTCTTCATTTGGCTGCTCATTTTAAAGGTTGCCACAACAGGTTATCTTCCTACATCTCCCCCTCTTCCAGCATCCACCCCTAACAGTCTTGCTGCTCTCCTTCTGTCACAAATCACCTTTGATATTGATCTCCACCCAATCCACCCCGCCTGCATTCTCCTTTATCACCTCCCTTTGCACTGTCCATTCCTTTCAAGGGTTGACTCCAGGTAGTTAAACTCATCTACTTTCACTACTTCTGCTACTTCCATGTTCACCTTTCCACCCGTCTGCCTCTCATGCATGCACTTGTATTCTGCTATGCTTCTACTGACAGTGCACATCACCCTTGTTTGTGAAAATCATCACTCTCTAAAGTTAGAGGATACTTGTTAAACAACAGGAAGTGTTAGAAAGACTGGTGTGAGCCTGCTTGTTGCTGCAGATCTTCTGAAACCTGGGGGTGGAGTTTTAAGACTGTCACTCTGAGTTCATTTTCAATGTCCAACTTTGTTCTATATTTTTTTTTTTATTGATTGAAGCCACAGCAGAAAAGACATAAGTAGGATGTGATAAAAGAAGTATCACCAGTCTCACTTGCCCAGGAGTGTGTAATCTTTCTCCACTCCAATCCAAAATGCAGAAAGGTTCTGCTGTAATCTACCTGCAACTGGTGAGGAAGAAAAACCTGCTGCTGCCTGTACAGCTCATGTTGTGCTTTGTTGTTCTCTCAGTCCCCCAGGTGGAGGTGGATTCAGGGGTGGAGTCTGTCCAGCTGATCTGCAAAATCAGAGTTCGTCTGATAAAAAAAGACCCTATAGTGGAGTGGACGGAGAACAACAAGAAGGTCCATGTGTATCAGAACGACTCTGAACAGCCTGAAGAACAGCACCAGGATTACAGAGACCGGACAGAGATGAATAAAGACCTGCTGAAAACTGGAGACCTCAGTCTGACCCTGAAACACCCCACAGAGTGGGACACAAACACCTACACCTGCACCGTCTACAGCAGGGAGGGAAACATCCTGCTGATGAAACAAGTGGAGCTTAAAGTCAGAGGTCAGAGCGTACATAGTTTTGCCTTGGATTTGATATCATACTCATTTTTGACCTTTGTAAACAATCTTTTTTAATTTTTTAACTAGAAATGCAGCAATGAGAATTATTGCAATACAACAACTAAAAATAATGGGTCAGTTACTGATGATACTAAAAACATTTTATCTGACCGTTTTGGAAAGCCATATAAAGCGATGGCTGTTGAATAACCTTTTGCTTCGGTGCACCCAGATTTTTCAACCACATCAATTAACACCGCATTTTTACATTTGCACTTTTTCAGGGGGAAATTGCCATCCATACAGACAATATTGATTTGTAAATGATTAACTAACAATCTTGTCAACACAAAGTTCTTTATTTGAAGCACATTTCTACAAGAAAGATAAGTTACTGAAAAAGTGGTTGTGCTTAAAGTGCTTTGGCAATATTGTAGACAATGATAAACATCGTCTGACGCTTAAAGGCAGTGGGAAGAGGGGACACTTGGGCAGTGCATTTATCACAGCATTCTGGATACACTGTGTATCGTATTAGCAGCAGTCACAAATGCAGTATTGCCGGCCATGGTCTTTCCACACTCACCATAGTAAATGCAGTGCATCATGTTGCCAGCTTTATAACAGACAACCGCCTTAAAAATATTCTGCAGAAGAACAAAGACTGAAGAAAACCATGAATCAACATATGAACATTACCTGATGCTGCTGAAGTGAAGCAGAGTAATGTTACAGAGGTTTGATTACAGACACAGCTAAGAGTTTTGCAATTTGGCATAATTTTGAAAAGTTTTAATTTCGTTATTATTAAACATTTTTGGGGAAAAGAAGAAAAACAGTGCTGTATCCAATGGTAGACTGGTGCGTAATAAGAAGAAACATTGTGCAGAAAACAGAGATTTGAGATGGGGAACTGTTCTTGAAGTACATTTTGGTCGGAGAGGGACAAAACCTGCAGCTCAGAATCAGTGAGATGTCGACTTTTAGCCCCGATGGCACAAACATGCCAGAAAGCTCTGTGTTTGTCTTTGTGTAGAATCTGTTTACCTGCTCTTATTTACTGTTTTAGCTATTTGGTGGTTGTTGAAATAGTTTTGTGAGCTCCTGGAGTTTCTGGCAAAATTAATTTACATTGAAAAATGAATTCAGGATTTAATGAATTAATATTGCTTTATTCATGCTAAAATAATTTTAAATCAATTATTAAAACCCAGCCTACTACTCACCTCTGTCTATCCGCCTGCACTTTCAAATATACACACATGTAGGCTGACAGGACTGTCTGGACCACGACCAATCAGAGAGGTCCCACCCCTGACTACCTTTGATTGGTTTTAGAGATGGACCGATCCGATATTACGTATCGGTATCGGTCCGATACTGACCTAAATTACTGGATCGGATATCGGAGAAAAATAAAAAATGTAATCCGATCCATTAAATACCACGAAAGCACCTCACAAAACTTG